TCTTGCATAATATAGGCTGTAGGAATGTACCTGTAGGATCTCATTGATAAAGCAATAATTAGGAAGAAAAAAAAGTACCCCACTTCCATCTCTATAATACAAATAAGAGACACCCAAGGTGGAAGGGCTATCATGCTCAGAAGAGGCATGGCAGAGGAGAGTAGCAACAGAGTGATGAGACTGAGAATAGACCTGGTTTTAGGCAACACAGGATAAATAGATTTTCCAGCATCATCCTTGGGCAAAACAGGTCAAGGAACACCATACCAATGAGTGTACATCCTGTCTCTATTCCAATGTGCAGCTCAGATCCCCAGATTGACGAACTTCTGATCACCATTTGGTAATGCTTCTGAGTTCAACTGCCTGCTCATTGCATGATCCTACATGTTGAAGGCTCCTTAGGCCTTGAGATTCTCCAGAACCCACTCACACCTCTCACTGTGGGTACCTAACTGTCCAGTTATTGGCCAGTACAGGCAGGCGCCAGACACATTAGATGGTATGATTAAGACTCAGTGTCTCACAGATGATGGGGAAAGGAACTGAAATAGGGGCAGACAGCAATCCACAGTTGGTATCCTCTGACTGGATTTCCTGAATTCAGGCTGCCTTCTCCAGCTTTTTACTGAGAAGACGGAGTGTTTGGTAGTACCTTGTAGGCTTTATATTCTTTTCACCAGACAGATTCATTTCTGGGTCATGATCCTCTGTTAAAAAGGGGACATCCTGGGGCCAGCAGGTGGTGTGGTAGTTAAAGGCACTGGACTCCCACATGGCTAACTGTGGTTTGAGTTCTGGACCTGGCATCTTGCTTTCTCACTTTCCCCCTTTCTTTATCTGTCTTTCCCTGGTCAAATTAAATAATAATAATAAATAAAGTTAAATAACATAATTATTTTTAAAAAATTGCTAACATCTCTGAAGCTGGCAGGTGGTGTGGAGTTTAAGGGGTTGAACTTTTACATAGCCAAAAATGGTTCAAGTCTTGGATCTGGTGACTTGAGAAAAATCATAGTGGACCCATATACACACATGCTCAAAATACCAAGAGCAGAATGGAGGAGAAAGGATTGTGGCATGGTCATCCCCCCGGGGAGTGATTTCCCCCTTTCTATCTTTCTCTGTCTCTCTTTAGTGAGCACATATGCCTTATGGCAAAAACTTAGAAAAATAAATGAGCACCCCTCAGCTTATCAATCTTTCTGTTGTATATACACATTTTGGCCATCATTTTCCATTGTATTTCCTTCTGTAACAGAGTACTGGGTATTTCAGTAAATGAAATTAGATAAATGTCCCTGAAGAATCATTTGTCAGTAACTCAGGAGAGTATAATCTGTTAGTGAGAGACTCAGTCATAGCAATGGGGTGACAGAAAAGTGAGATCAAAAGGAAAAGTTATAGGTTTGATTTCTCTAGGTTTTATGGATGAGTGCTGAGATAGGAGTTTGTGTACATGCCTACAAATTCTGGAAATCTCCACTTTAAAATAGCTTCTCCTATCAAAGTCACCCAAAGATAAAGGATTTGAGAATCCTTATGACCAACAGGGTTGAGAACAGATACCACTAGACCAAACAGCTCTTTCTTTACCCATCTGTGAACTCAGCTGAGGAAGAGTGATAAATTAAAATGCTGATGGACGTGCAATGTCACCAATCCTTGCATGAACATCTATAACAAGCATAATTTCTCTCATGTTTAACTGGACAAACAGACCAGCCATTTTCCCCAATCATTGCTAAAAACAATCATACCCTTACACTTCAGTGAAGAGTGAGCCTCCCAGGGCAAATAAAACACCAACATCGTTGTTGAGAACCCCCTCAACTGGACTTCCAACTCTATCTGTATTACTGTGCCTAAAAATTTGAAATTTTATTTTAAAACAGAAATAAATTTTCAAGGAAATAGTATTTTTCAGAAATATGAAAAAATTAAGAGTAAGCAGACAAATATCAAATGTTTACTATTTTCAATTTTACCATTGTAAAAACTTAAATAGAAACTTAAAATTGTTTAACCAAATTATTCTTTAAGACAAAGTAAGGATGGGGCCAGCAGATGGTGTAGCGGTTACGTCACTGGATTCCCACATGGCTGACCGCGGTTCGACTCCTAGATCTGGTGGCTTGATAATCACACCAGGTGCGTGTGCATGTGTCCAAGACCTGAGGAGGAAAATGGAGGAGAAGGGATTGCAATGTGGTCATCCTTTCTGGGGAGGCAGGAGGGGTGATTTCTTATTCTTCCTCTTACTGTCTCTCCAGCGAGCACATATGCCCTAAGGCAAAAGCCTCTTAAAAAAAATTAAACAAGAAAAATAATTTTGAAACTAAACTAGTATATATGAAGAGCTTTTATTTCAGACACACAGAGAAGGAACCAAGAATCAAATTATACCACAGTGAATTACTGCTTATGTGGTAGAAATCATTACAGTCTGTCTTAAACTTTCACAACAATGTATCGATAGATTTAATTCTTTCTCTTACTGCTTTTTTTAACAAATGATAAAATGAATCACATAGAATTTGATGAGAGTTAGCATGGGGCAAACCAGGACTGCAGTAAAACTCTAAATGTATGGACGTGTCTATACAGATATAGATATCTATAGATACATAGATAACAGGGCTAGCCCAGTCGCTTAGTAGTTAAAGGAGCCAGATTGCACAAGTACAACCCGCGATCCAAATCGTGGGCCAGAAAGCTTGAAAAACATGCCAGGTGCATATGTGTGCTTGCTTGAAATAGTGACAGGTTAAAGAAATGGAAAAGAAGGGATTTTGGTATGACCATGCCCCATTGAGGGGTGCTTTTTCCCTATGGCTATGGTTCTCTCTCTCTAGTGAGGGCATACACTTTCTGGCAAAAGAAAAGAAAAGGAAGAATGGATGTAGTTTTTTTTGTTTGTTTGTTTGTTTTGAGAGATTTTTACTGTAGGGCACGTGCGCTCGCCAGACAGACAGAGAGAGACATAGAGACAGAAAGCGAGAAATCACCCCCCAGAGGGGATGGTCACGCCGCAATCCCTTCTCCTCCATTCTCCTCTCGGGATCTTGGGCACGCACGCACACGCGCCCGGCGTGAGTTTTAAGCCACCAGGTCCGGGACACGAACCGCAGTTGACTACGTGGGAGTCCAGCGACATAGCCATTACGCTAACTGCTGGTTCCCAGAATGGATGTAGTTTTGACAGAGATGTCTGAGTCCTTAAAAATGAAAATTCTGAGACCAGTTGGCGTAAGGCTTTGTCACTGGACTCCCATGTAGTCGACCGCAGTTCGAGTCCCAGACCCAGACCTGGGCTTAAACTCACACCGGGTGCATGTGGGTGCGTACCCAAGATCCTGAGAGGAGAATGGAGAAGGGATTGTGGTGTGGCCAACCCCTTTCAGGGGTGATTTCTCACTTTCTGTCTCTCTGTCTTTCTGGCGAACTCACCTGCCCTATAGCAAAAAACCTCTCATTAAATATAAAGTTCAAAGAAAATTCTTCAAAGCCAACCTTAATTCCCCTTAAGACACAACCTATTCCATGTAATATAACAGGGTTATTATTCTTCAGTCATTAGTAGAGCAAAGATTTACTAGGTTGAAAAATTTCTATAAATACTTTATATTTAATGAGTTTACTTGATCATAATAATCCAAAGTATTAGATAATTTCTTTTTAGAAGTTTTTGACTTAGGGAATGTGTGCTCACCAGAGAGAGAAAAAAAAAAAAAAAACAAAGACAGATTTTCAAGCCACCAGATCTGGAATTTGAAACAGCTGAGTATGTGGGAGTCCAACAATGTAACCGCAATGTCATCTGCTGTTCCATTAGATAAAATTTGTAAATAAAATGTAAAAATAAAGTGAGCACAGTGGCCCAGCAGGTGATGGGGAAGTTAACGTGGCTAGATCTCGTGTGGCCAACTGCACAGTTAAGTCCTGGTCCAGGCAGCTTGAAAAATACCAGGAACGTGTGTGTGTTTGACAAAATCCTGAGAGAAAGGAGGAAAAGATATAGTAGTATGACCATCCTCCCTGGGGGGTGGGGTGGGGTGGGATTTCTCTTCCAATCCACCATCTCTCTCTCTAGTGAGCACATGTACCTTATAGCAAAACTAACAATAATAATAATAATAATAAAGTTAGCGGGACCAGCAGTTGGCATAATGACTATGTCACTGGACTCCCATGTAGTCGACAATGGTTCACGTCCCGGATCCGGTGGCTTAAATTTACGCCAGGCGTGTGTGTGTGTACATGTCCAAGATCCCGAGAGGAGAATGGAGGAGAAGGGACTGTGGTGTGGCCATTCCCCCTGGGGGGTGATTTCTCGCTTTCTCTCTGTCTTTCTGGCAAGCACACACATCCACGAGATAGATTGTGAACTCTGACACTCTGGAACAAGATCTCCACTCTTTCTATATCCCATGACGTTTTCTCTCTAATTCTTGATAAATGAGGGGCATCACAGGTAAACCGATATACTGCTAAGAACTTATCTTCAATGAGTGACTCCTTGTTGAAAAACTTTCCTACATTGTAATCTGTCAGAAGGAATTAGGTTGCAGAGATTTGACAGAGGTCAATATTAGTTTTTTCTTTATTAGAGATCAGTCATTTTTACTTGGGATTATGAAAAAATGATCAAGAAAATCCGCTCCTACACACAAATAAAATATTGGAACGAATATGGCACAAGGTAATCTGTACATCCTATTTATAAGTGAAAGATGGTCAAAGGGAAAAAAGAAAGGCAGTGAGAAAAAGGTCATTAAAATGGTGCAACTGAGGGACCAGCAGTTAGCGTAATGGCTATGACGCTGGACTCCCATGTAGTCGACCACTGTTTGAGTTCCGGACCCGGTGGCTTAAACTCATGCCAGGCGTGTGTGTGTGCGTGCCCAAGATCCCGAGAGGAGAATGGAGAAGGGATTGCAGTGTGACCATCCCCCCTGGGGGGTGATTTCTCGCTTTCTGTCTCTCTTGTCTCTCTCTGTCTGGTGAGCGCACGCACCCTATAGCAAAAACCTCTCCAAAATAAAAGAAAAAAAAAAAAAAAACAAGGAAAAAAATGGTGCAAATGAGCAAGAGATACCCAGAGCAAGAGACTCTGCACAAAAGGGAATGAGGATGTAAGAAGGTTCAGGAGAATGGAGAGCATAGAGTCATGGGAAATTCACATCTCATAGGATTAAAATACGGGAAAATTTCCTGGGAGAAGCTAGAGGCACTGAATTTATAAATGAGAAACCCGTGGTTTGTAGCATTGAAAAATGAGACAGTGCCAGCCTCATAGTCTACAAAAACCCCAATACGGCAAAGAGGAACTGTTAGGGAGGGGGTCAAGAGCAAAGGATCACAGAAAAGTGACCCCTTAAAATCTTTAGATTCAGAGCGATCCTGTAACCCTATAACCCAGTAGCCATTTTTAGGTAGGTAAGATGCACATTGTACCAAATTAGGCTTTCTAAAGAAACTGACGCAAGTTTTAAGGCATACCCCTAAGATCCAGGCACGTTTGTTAGACACATCTACCTCCCAATAATGTTTTCCTGATGTGATACCTGGGACACCCAAGATGCCATTATAAGGACAATTGTCCTCAGAATGTGAAACTTTTGCAATCCAAAAGCTTGACTGATATCTCACTTGTCTTCGATCATTAGAAATTAAAATATTTGCATTGTTGATTGGAGTCATTGTCACGTGAACTGCAGAAAAATGACAAGGTTGGGTGAGTGATAGGATGTATTGATAGCTTTATTTGTGATATTGTTAGAAGAATCTTGAGAAGAATTTGAGAGGAAATTTGGTCAGGGGTCTTAAGAAGGGATAGGTATGTATGTGTTAGAAGAAGAAATAATGAGTCTTAAAATATGAGATCTACTGAACACAAAATTATCAAAGAGTATGACAACAGGGTGACTTATATACTGTGATTTCTCCTTACCCCAGTAGCGTTGAACATCTGTCAGTTCTGAAATTTAAAGAAAATAAATAAATATATACACATACATATATATATATATATATATATATGTATATACACACACATTATATATATACATGCACACATACATATACTATGTATATATATGGTTGTTGGAAAAGTCATGATGCATTTTTGCATAGAAAAATACATCATGACTTTTCCAACTCTATGTATATGAATGTTGAATAAATGAGTCAAAACAGGAATTTATTTCCTCTCCAAATTAGGCAAAGAGGGACTATTATAAGGCAGTGAGTTGGTGCAGTAGATGAACCAGGCCCCTGACATTTTCTTTGAAATAAGACCACATCAACAGTGCCCAGTATGCATCCTCCCATATCTGTTCTACCCACACCTAGAAACTACTCTCTCCCCCATTTAAGATGCTGCCACTACTGGATACTCACAACCACTCTTGATGTAGCTCTCCTCACCTTTATACTCTTTCAGTATCAGCATCAGACGAGAAGAGGGGGATACTCTTCTTTGTTCCTTGGGAAATGTATTTGGCTTTTTCAGGGTCACAGTCTCACACCTAGGGACAAAAAAAAAAAAAAATGACCCCCACCCCCATACCTTTGAATTTTTGTACCTTGAATATCACTGTGTGCTATCTTTTTTTTTTTTTTTTTTTACTATACACGTGCTCTCACCAGTGAGTGAGAGACAGAGAGACAGAAAGTGAGAAATAATCACCCCCCAGGGGGATGGCTACACCTCAATTCCATCTCCTCCATTTTCCTCTGATGATCTTGGACATGCATACACACGCAGTTGGCATGAGTTTAAAGCCACCGGGTCCAGGACACAAACCATAGTCAACCGTGCGGGAATCCAGCAATGTAACCATTATGCTATATGCTGCCCGTGCGGGAATCCAGCGATGTAACCATTATGCTATATGCTGGTCCCCAGATCTGCTATCTTGACATCCCATTGATGTACTTGAACCTCTCTGCAAATTCTGAGTGGGAAAGAGGAAGACTCCTGACAATGGAGTCAGATGAAATGTGCTCATGTCCACCCTTCTCCCCCCTTGCTCTCTCTGTGACTTTGGGAAGGTCTTAATCTTTCAGAAATGCACTTTCTTTCTACTAAAATCAAAATAACTGACCTCTCCACCCGTACCTTCTAGAACTCACAGGAAATGAAACAATAATGAATTTTAAAACAAAATGCATCTTTGGTGCCTTAAGAATAAATAAATAAATACACTTATTGAAACATTATCGCCATGGATGTGGGTTCCCAGGGAGATGGTCAGAAAATGAGGTTACAAAACTTAGGTGTTTGAGACCTATTAGCATGTGAATCCTGTTAGGAAAGATCCAAGAATGTGAAAACCTGTTACAGAAGAGGCCCTCAGATAACATTTGCACTTTCTGTTCTTTGGGAAAAATTACAAACACAAGGCAAAGGAAATATTATGATCACTAAGTTAATACTGGTCTAAATATCATGTGTTGGGAAAAGTTTGGTGGTGTCAGGGAGGTGGGCCTCTTTGGACACAAGGATGCCACCTTTCCACACTCATCTAAAGTATGCGATGGAAATGAATAAGCTTTTTTGCACCAGGGCCAACACGTTATTTTCAAAGACTCAAGTCTATTTTGGAAATCTAAATAGAACTACAAAAAAGGACCTTTTCCTACTAGTTCCAAGAGAAACATATCAATATGTGCCAATTGCCCCAGTGAACAATTCTGCGTACTTAACAAAGAAGATATGTCCTGGGGCCAGCAGGTGGTGTGGGTTAAGACGCTGGACACTCCGTCATGGCCGGTCATGGTTCCCGGACCTGGTGGCTTGCTTTCTCCCTTTCCCTCTCCCTTACTCTGTGTGTATGTCTCTCTCTGGTCAAATTAAAATAAATGAATGAATAAATAAAAATTGAATTATTCTTAAAAAGTAAAAGAAGATATGTCCCTCCCACATAATTCAAACATCTATTAAATTGTTAAATATAAAACCAGAGCTGGAGTTAGACAAATAGGGTGAATAAAATGGTGATGTCAAAGAAGTATGATACTATGGCACCTTCTTACCTTATCGATATTACCACTCCTGATTCAAACTCTACCATAGAATATGGTCTATTCTCAATAGTTAAGAATACTCATACCCTAACCTATGACCACGTATTTAAGATAGCAATACGTCTAAGTTTATGTGCCCTAGAGATGTTTGATTCTTTTTTAAAAAATAATTATTTATTTTATTTATTTTAATTGAGAGAGACACAGAGACACCACAGAGAGAGAGAGACTGAAAAAGCAAGCCTGCTAGTTCCAGGACTCAAACCATGGTCAGCCATGTGGGCATCCAGTGCCTTCACCACCTGCTGGTTCCAATGTTTGATTCTGATTAAACACCAATAATTAACTTTTCTTATCATTCTAATGGTTACAAATATTTTCTTATAGCTTGAAATATCCATCTCTGGTTCCCCACACATACCTTTTTATGCTGTCATTCACATCCTAGGGGGAAGAGAAAGAAAACATGAGTTGAGAAATAATAGAGTCACCTCACTTACAAAGTGTCATCACACTCCCACCTGAGAATGGACATGGTTCCAGTGTAAAAGACAAAAAAGTAAAGATAACACCCAGAAGATTCACGTGATGTTGTCAGTTTCCCTAAAAGGTAGAAACAGCTTCAATCCTGTGGAAGCACAGCATGAGATGTTTCAATAGAGATGAGACATTTTCCAAGGAAAAGAAGAGATTCTGAATTTGTTTTCCCAAATGCTCTGTCTCCTCATGAGAAAATTAAAATATATTCATGTTCCTTTTGTTTATTGAACTGGCAAAAACTAATATACATATAAATAGAGTTTTTAAGAAAGAATGATTTATTCATTTAATTCCAGCTGTTATTCTTATTACTTTTTTTAAATTTGACCAGAGAGAGAGAGAGGGAAATCGAGAAAGCCAACCACCAGGTCTGGGGCTCAAACTGCGGTCAGCCATGTGGGAATCCAGCGCCTTTAACCACTATGCCACCTGACAGCCCTCATAGAGAGATTTTTTTTTTCTTTGCTATAGGGCACGTGAACTCGCCAGAGATACAGAGAGAGACAGAGAGACAGAAATCATCCCCCAGGGAGCTGGCCACACCACAATCCCTTCTCCGTCATTCTCTCTCAGGATTTTTCAGTATACAAGCACAAATGCCCAGCATGAGTTTTAAGCCACCAGGTTCGAGACTTAAACTGTGGTTGACCACATGGGACTCCAGTGATGTAAGCCTTTCACCATCTGCTGGTCCCAAAACTGATGCACTATTATTTACCAGGCATTCTGCCAGGCTTTGTAGAACCAAACATGAAGAAATAATAATCCTCAAGAACTTTATATGATTTTGGTTGATGGTACATGCAAATAAGCATACCAAACAAGTGAAGGTGTTTTTCTTGCCTCTCCTCATTTTATATATGATTTATGATTGACCTCATCCACTCCCTAAACTCAGCACACATATATGTGTAGTTGATCTCCAACCTACTATTTTTGCTTAAATTTGTCACTTACATGCAGTTTAATATATTCAATAATGGGACTGGCAGGTAGCATGGTAGTTAAGGGTGCTGGAATCCCACATGGCTGACTGCGGTTTGAATCTTGGGCCTGGTGACTTGCTTTCTCATTTTTTCTCTCTCTCACTCTGTCCCTCTCTGGTCAAATTTTTAAAAATAAATAAATAGGGACCAGCAGTTGGCATAATGGCTATGTTGCTGGACTCCCATAGGTTGACTGTGGTTCAAGTCCCAGAATGGTGGCTTGAACTCACACCAGGCGTGTACGTGCATGCCCAAGATCCCGAGAGGAAACGAGAGGAGAAGGGATTGCGGACTTGCCATCCCCCCAGGGGGGTGATTTCTCACTTTCTGTCTCTCTGTCTCTCTGTCTTTCTGGCGAGTGCACACGCCCAGTAGCAAAAACCTCTCAATAAATAAATAAAGTAAAATAAAGTAATTATTTTTAAAAATACATATATTCAGGAGTGAGAAACCACAAGGACCAGCGGTTTAGGAAGTGTGACATTTAACACCCACCACACCATCTCTCATATCTCGTTGCCCATGTTATCACTATGTAATCAGTCATCGTCCTGAAAACTACAATATTTATCCAAATGTCAGTGTCTACTAGGCCAGTTTAGTCTACATTCTTAATGGTTGTTAGCCATCTACTCTTATTTATATCATCAGTGATATTATTTTAATTGTTTGAATAGATAAGCACCAATGTGTTTGATCTCCTGAAGCCCAGATTTACTTCCTCATACTCGTTTTCTCCAAAAACTAGGCAAATTGCTGGATCAATGTATACACACACACACACACACACACACACACACAGATTTGTTTCTTGTATTAGAAGTCTTATATTGTTGTATGTGACACAAACCAAGTGAAACTAGATTATGTGATAGAAAGCATTTTGGGGAAGGTAGTTGTAAGTTCAGTCATGGCTAAAATTTTAAAACTCAAACTTTGCATTAGGGTCAGATCTATGTCCTTCTCCAAATTCTATTTATTCCTTCTACATTGACTTTATTCTTAGCCCATTAAGGAAATGTGAATCTCTGGATGTAAACCTCAGGGAACAGGTGAACTTATCTTCTAAGTTTTACTAACACTTAGAAAAATTTGTTGAGACCAGCAGATGGTGTAATGGTTATGTCGCTGGACTCCTACATATCGACCACAGTCTGAGTCCCGGACCCAGAAGCTTAAAATTAATGCCAGGTGCATGTGTGTGCATGTCCAAAATCTCAAGTGGAGAAAAACAGAAGAAATAATTATAGAGAAATTTTACAAATTTTATAAATATTAATATACTCATCTACTCTCAATGAAATACACCTTAGATAAATAAAATGAGACCACATATAAAACTTCTAAAGGTCTAAATACAGGGAGAACTTTTAAAGCAGCAGGAGAAAAACCTGTAATAATATCAGGAAAGCCATCAAAATTACTAATGGCTGGCTCCGAACAATAAAGGCTAGAAAGGACTAAGATGACATACTTAAAGTACCAAAATGTAAAAAAAAAGTATCTACTCACAATTCCATATGAAGCAAAGATATTCTCCAAAAATGAAGAAAAAATCTACATATTTTCAGATAAAGCCTGAGTTTGCTCCTAGAAGACTGATCTTATAAGAAAACATTCTTTCTTTCTTTGTTTTTGTTTTTGTTTTTTGGTGAAAGGTTTTAGCTATAGGGCTAAAGAGAGTTTAGCTATCAGAAAGACAAAGAGATAGAAAGCAAGAAATCACCCCCCCAGGGAGGATGGTCATTCCAAAATCCCTTCTCCTCTGTTCTCCTCTCTGGATCTTGGGCACGCACGCATATGCGCCCAGCGTGAGTTTAAGCCACACAGACCATGGTTGACTACATGGGAGTTACGTAGCCATTACACTAACTGCTGTTCCTGTATTAGACAAAATAGATTTTAAGGCAAGAACTATTTACTAGAGAAAGAGAGTGGTATTTCAAATGAAATGGTTCAGTATATCAAAAAGATATAACAATATAAATGTGTAGGTAGCTAAAATAGAGCCTGAAAATACACAAAACTGGGACTAGCATGAGTTTAAGCCACCGGGTCTGGGACTTGAACCATGGTCAGCTACATGGGAGTTCAGCGACATAGTCATTACACTAACTGCTGGTCTCAGAAAACATTCTTAATATCCTTCAAAAACTCCTATAAAAGACAAAAAAAGTTTCTCAAAAACAAAGGCTTAAGTTTAAAGAAACCCAAACACTAAGGAAATGCTATAAAATGTGAGTAAATACTGGATCATCAGAAAAGTCATGATGTATTTTTCCATGTTTTTCCATGCAAAAAATGCATTAAGACTTTGCAGAAGATCCAATATAAAAGACTCTATAGCTTATCTTCAAATTTATTTTTTTAACCTTAAATAGTTAAGTAGTGGGGCCAGCAGGTGGCATGGCAGTTAAAATGCTGGACCCCCCCCACCCCGGTTTGAGTCTCAGATCCAGTTGCTTGAGAGACACTCCAGGCACATGCAAGTGCATGCTCAAAATCCTGAGAGAATGGAGAAGAGGGCCATCCCCTCTAGGGAGTGAGTTCTCACTTTCCCTCTCTCTCTATCTGTCTCTGATGAGTTCATGTGTCCTATACCAAACCAAAAATAAAATAAAATAAAGACATAAATAGCAGTAAATAAATAACAATAACTAA